GACTGTTAAAGGAATTCTCGGCGAAAACGTAACACTGGAGTGGAAGTTTTCACTTGTACGCGCAAATGAGACGTTTGATTATTTTGTTCTGCTTCGAAGTGGCGATGACATGATTAAATACAGTCGCGATGTGGGTGTAGTAAATTACAAAGATGGAAGCGTTGGAATGGCAACAAATGGAACACCAGCCTTCACATTGATCAATCTGCAGCAGCATGACGATAAAGCAGAGTTCTGTTGTAAAGTTGGCACAAAAAGTACTGGGGCATCGAGCGGAAATCTCCATAAGCATTGTGTTACTCTGAAATTGTTAGGTAAGAAGTAGAGGAATGTTGCTTTTAAAACTGTTTACAGCTATCCTATTTTTTGTCCTTCCTACAAAGTAACTCGCNAACAACTAAGACCAACCGGAAAACGTGAACTATAAGCATTAGTTTTGAACATGGCCCGACATGATTCCAGTATAAATTTTCGAGAATTTTACTCAGGCGGGAGCATTTTAATTTATGGTAAACTAGATAAGCATTTTAAAACCAAATTAAGCAAATAAGGATGAAACATCATCAGAGCCAAGATGAATGATGTATTTTTTCTGTCCATTATTTTATGCCTTTTTGAATTAATCAGTAAAATTAGCTGATACAATAAGCTGTTGTATAACGGGCATTGAGCATTTAAGCCGTGACTTCCCGCCTGATAGATGGAACATTTTAAATAGTGGGAAAAGTGGAGCATTTTAGTGCGGAAGTAAAGTCACAATGTACAAAAGCTTACGTAAAGGTGTCTTATAACCTTAAATCATCTCTTTCGCTTTCGGATTGCAACTTATGTTACATCTTTTGTCTCGTCTTTGTTTGAGTTCAGGTTCGAGGCAAATCACAAAGTAGAGACTGAAGTAACATCCAGTTTAAAGCCAAGACGTGCACAAACAAATAGCTTACGTCCACGTATTGACCTCGCGCTCCTTGGCAATAAGTGTCTTTGCGGAAGTGATGTTGGAACGTGCTGGCGCCAAAAAGCCTGACCAATTCTTTCCTTTTCCGTTTTCATTAAACAGTCAGGGTTAGGTTAAAGAATATTAGCATACTTTGGCATCTACAGGGAGGCTACAATACAGACTGGGCTTTCAAAGATATGACCATTAGAAGCCTGTTTTACAACAGCCTGTATGTTTAGTTTTGTTCCTGAATAATCAATTAATTAAATGTTTTATTATTATATTATTTTAGTCCGTCCCAACATCATGGCAATCTCAGGAAACCAAACACTGAACGAGAGTAATGATGTGATACTCTCCTGCAACGCAAAAGGTACCCCACCTCCTAATGTCACGTGGTCAATATCAGGTGATCAGGATAAGAACTTCGATCCGGGATCTTTACTACCACTAAGAAATATCAGTAGAGCACAAGATGGCCTCTATTGGGGCACTGCAGAAAACGGAGCTGGGAAATCCGTCGCTTCAGTAAGAATTACTGTGCAATGTAAGTGAACCAGGACCATTTCAGTGGGACAAATAAAACAACGATTTTGAGCATTCATGTGCACATTATTAGAATTGTTTGATTAGTGTACATATTCATGCCTTTTTGTCACGCCTCGGTGGTATTTCAGGCGAGTTTGGCGGAGCCATGGATGGTATTTTAGCGAGACCTAGTCAAGTCAAAATATCCATGGCCACACCTTTTTTGTGGAAAGATATTTTTCCCATTAATTTTTTTTGCTCCTCAGAAGGCACGAAAATACTGTTGTCAGTAACAGGCTGTTCCTCAGCAACTACAGGGTGGCCGTAAATTTCCACTGTCTGCAACAGACACGAAACATTATTTCTCTCGAAGAAATGCTGCCAAGTCTACTTTACAACATTGTTTCAGAAATACTTGAAATGTTATGTAGAAAGGTTTATCCAAGTTTAGGTGCCGATGCGAGAAAAGGGTTTTCACAAAATCTCAACTCTAGTCTGGAGGAAGACATAAACTTTGTTTTTAGATTTCAGCAAAGCACTGTTCTGACCGTAGCGGAGTACAATAAACTTATTCAGTACTGTGTTTAATCTGCTGAACCAGTATCCTCTATGCCTCATATCTCATGTGCTAGAGCTGACAGTTGGGAGTGTAAGGATGTTAAGCACAGGCTCTACAGAAAGAGTATTATTAAAGAAATGGTAACGAAACCGTTGAAACTTTTCTGTCCTCGCT